AGACCAAAACAGTTTTTTGTACCAGGCTGTAAAATAATCAATTTCTATTCCAATATTTTTATCATCTCTTAGGTGATATCTTGCCAATATGAAAAAAAGGACAAGCTCAGAAAATATGAAAATGGTCAGCCAATTTTTTCCTCTTTGTACAAATTTACATTTTGCATTTACATTGTCTGACTTTCTCATATATTATTCCAGTCTTCCTCGGTTATCTCCAGTCCTGATTATGTCTCCCATTTCTTTTTTAAATGGACGGTCCAGTAGTTTTTAGCCACGCTAGCGGCATGTCTCTAGGAATGGTAATGACAGTCAGTCGCTCCACTAGTCTGGTCCAGACTGAAGTATTTCAACAACTATTAGATGGATTGCTGCACTTGTGGTTCCCAGAGGATGATCCTAATGACTTTGATGATCCCCTTTTGACTTTTCCTCTTGCACCACCTGAGGCTGATATTTTCTAGTAGAAATGTGTAAAGAACTGTTGGATAGATTGCCATAAAATTTCATGTCCCCCTCAGGATGGATTGTGATCACTTGTTGTTGGTGATTGCTTAACTTTTCATCTAACTAACTACATCTTTTGTGCTTATTAACACATTTTAGCATGCTAAGATACTGAACTAAGATGGACATGGTAAGCATTATACCTGGTTAACATCAGCATGTTAGCATTGTCATTGTGAGCATGTTAGTGCGCCTTTAGAGTTTTCTATTGTATTATCATGATATTATTATGTTTGTCTGCTTTAATCTGACCAAATTTGATTCATTTTTTTATTTATTGTCTTTTATTGTTTATTTGTATAGGGACAAATATGTAGCATCAACAAATGCCACACACCAACACATGTATAACATAAGCTAATTTGCAATGCCTGTCCCTACATAGGCCTTTAAAATAAAATAAAAACTCAACAAATATAAAAGAAACAGCACAAAACACAAACTCTGCTTACATCTGCTTGTTTCACTAACCTTTAAAACAATAAAAGACCAAGCAACAACTTCTCAGCGATACCTCCAGCCTGCTATTTAGAAGTTTAGCATTTTGACAGTATTCACTAGCTGAGGAAAAATAACTGAATATTGAAACAAATTCACCAGAATTGATAAAAAATTTACTGATTTTTTTTAAAGCAATGTAATGTGCAGTAACTTTGACGTCCCCCTAGTGTTGTTGTATCATTATCTTCCATTTGGCCCATTTTGCTGCTGCCTCGTGCTTCCAAAGGTGAGAAGTTCACTGTGAGCTCAGAGAGTCTGCGGCCTCACAGGTCGGTTGTTATCAGCACTGCTCTGACACAGGAGGCTGAATGTAAAGCCCAAGGTTTTGTTATCCAGCACCATTCATCATGTTAAAGGTCTGCATTGTGGTTTTGCTGCAAAGGCAAGACTGCCTGGAGGGGTCAACGGTAAAAGCCTCCACTCTGCTGACTGAACAGGGGATAAGACTTCATATACAGCTCAGTATGTGTGTGAGAGAGAAAAAGAGATGGCTGGATAGAAACTGACGCAGGCAGATTGTTCCCTGGTTGGCTGTGGTCGACATAAATCGCCAGCTCTCCTGGTGGAAGGGGGCAAGACTTTGAGTGGGGATCAATTTTCAGAGAACAGTACTCACTGCATCCTCTCTGGGGAACTCTAGAAGGTTCATGGGAAAATGCACGATGTGAAGGATGGAGTAACAGAGTTCTTTGTCCTCTTAATGTTTGCATATCTGAAGAATGAAGCCATTCACGGTGTTTTCGTAATCATAAATAACAAAAGTTTGAATTTAGTTGAGATTAGTTAATCAACTATGTTTTTTTTATGCTAAAATATAAGGATTTGCTGCTTTTCTCTGTTTTATATAATTGCAAACTAAACATATTTGTGTTTTGCAGTGTTAGCAATTTCAAAATGTCTCTGTAGGCTCAGAGAACCTTTCATAGACTATATATAGAAATGATTAATCAAAAACAAGACAGTTTACAGCCATGCTAGTGGCTTAATGAAGCTGTACAGTGGTGCATTGACCTAAATGCTAACATGCTCACAATGATGAAGCTAATCTAAGTTTAGCATGCTAACATTTATTAATTAGTACCAAACACAGCTGAGGCTGATGAGAATGTCATTAATTGTATATACATTTGTTCTTAAATCAAAGTGTAGGAAAAATTAAAACCCATTTGACCTGATGGTGGCGCTAGAAGAACGGTCAAGGATCAAGTCTTTAAGATTCATCCTCTATGCACCTTGGATATCTGTACCAAATTGCATGGCAATCCATCCTCAAGATATTTGAGTCTCGACCAAAGTAGTGGACTACTTTTCAGACCCACGTTAGAGCCACACTGCTAGCATGGATGATCCACTGCTCTCTTTTTCCCAAAGTCTCTATACTTCACTGCATAAAACTCATTGGAATCATTTTTATGTTAGGTAACATGAGACCAGGCATAGCTGTGGCACTAAAAACCGAGCTGACGGCTTGCTCTGAAAGAATGTAACTGATAGTGGAAATACATTTTCACAGTGACACTGACAAAGAAACTGTACTGGGGAATAGACATGTCTGGCTGATACCTAACTCATTTAATAAAGTCAAAATGCTCAAAATTCGCTGGTAGCAGCCTCTGAAATGTAAAGATTTGCTGCTTTTCTCTGTTTTCTATCATTATAAATGTAATAGGGTACATTTGGGGGTTTTGCACTGTTGGTTGGACAAAATAAGAAACATGGGCTCTGGGAAAATGTGAATGCAATTTCAACTATTCTTTGACATTTTATAGACATATACATTTAATAGTATTTATACTAGTGCTAAGTAGTATGACCAAAAAAATTATAGATTAATATTTAAGATTCTGGTGGTTTGCTTGACTGGGCCTTTATCTATATTATAGTGGCTTATTCTATTGTCAGGAGAACATTGAATATAAAAGCATTGTAATTTCCTTATGTATATACTGAAGGCTTTGATTTGAAGGGGTTTTATTGGCCCACAAACTGATGGAATGTATAAAGAAATCAGAACATAAACAATTTTGGGCTTTTATAGCCTTCAGCTGATAGTGACAGGAAAGGGGTGGAGTTGAGCCCATGGCTGCTGTAGCAAGGACTCCGGTACATGGGGCGTCAGCTCTACCAGGTAAGCTACCAGGGTGCCCCAGATTGTAAACAGTTATATAGTAAACATAGTAAAAACAGAATTTAAGAATAAAGAAAGATACGTCAAAATCTAATATTGTAATATTGCTTTCTTTCCAAAACTAAATATTTAAAAATAGTTGTATAAAGAGTTCAAAGAGTTGTTTCTCAAATGTTCTATTGTAGAAGAAACTAATTCCACCTATGCAACTGTTTGGCTGTGTATAAAAAAATAGTATCATATGGGAAATTAAAACATAGTTAATAATGAAAATAATTATTTTCATTTCATTAATTAATTAAATAATGAGAATAGTTGTTGTCCTAGATATGTCTAACCATGAATTAATTGGACTCAAACATTAGATATGTACAGACACTAGATCTGACATGATTAGTCAAATAATTAATTGATTAGTCGATGGATGGAATATTAATCTACAACTATTTTGTGTATTGTGTAAAACCTGGATATTACCTACGTCCAGCCTCTCAATTTTGCAGATTGGCTGCTTTTTTTTGTCTAAAAATCTTTGGGTTTAGACTGTTGGTCAGACAGAACAAGCCATTTGAAGCCAGTCTTCCTGTACTTTAGGAAGTTGTGATGGTCTGTTGATACGGGATTGCAGATGAAAAGAGTGGCAGTGGTATTGTGTGAAACTACAGCATGAGGGGAGATCAAAGTGAACTGTTGTTGTTCTTTGAAATCTATGAGAAACCTATTAAACAACACCCGGGAGATACTGTAGTGGACAGGTGACCTCTCTCAATCTCTTTACTCGTCGCATAAGACGATAATGTGGCAATAGGATGAAGCAACAGCTGTGAGAGCTGAGAGCAGTGCTGCTCGGCAAAGGGCTGATCAATACTGCAGCTTCTGTAATCGCAGGTAGAAAGAGAACATTGATTGTGAACACGGGGAATCTCAGGGAAAAAAGGCGATACAGGGCCGCGCTGAACCAGAAGACAGGACAAAGACAAGTGCTGTTACCTCAGGCCACTGTACACAAACATGGAAAGGTCAGCCAAAGCCACCCAGTGCCACTCTGGCCTGTGTTGAACTACCAGAACAAAGCGTTAAGCAGAGCAGACATACCGGTTTTCTTGAATGTCATACACAATCCTTTCTGGCCACAGGAAATGAAACGGGTCTGCTTCTCCGTGTCTTAGGCTATGTGTCTGGCTGGGTTTGAATCTTCCAGCCAACGATGAGTGAGGCAGAGATTCAATTACACAGTGATTGAATGTGATTCATTAATCACAAAGGGGAAAATGTGGGGTTTAATTTCCATGCCTCGAGCTGTGGTTTCTGCTCAAGATGACCACACTAATCGCTACCTTGAGTAATTTGGAATTGAGCTGCCGGCTTGATGTGGGCGAAAGCAGGCCGTAATGTGCACGGAGGGGTATTTTTAACGATTCTTGCGTGAAGAGAGCTGTGGTAAATAATATCCTGCAGGCGTTGTTGCATGGGAGGTGAGAAATTTAAGGGTGTTGTGTGTTTTTATGGCGCCTCTCTTACGCCTCATCTCACACTCATTCATAGGCCTCCTCCTCACTTTCTTTCGGTCTCCCACATCCTGAAAAGTTTGCGCGAAAGGAAGATAAAAAAAAGTTTTACCCATAAACAAGCTGCGATAATGAGAGCATAAAGCAAAATAATGATAACAGTGCTTTTTCTGTTTCCCTCTCCCCCATCTTTCTCTCTGGCCCATTACTTTCTTAACTTCCCTCTCTCTGTATTTGTTTTCCTTCCATGCAGGTACTTTGTGTTAGATCCAGAGTTGGGGCAGCTGCACTACTTTGTCAACGAGCAGGGGAAGAGCCAGAAGCCTCGTGGGTCCCTGCCACTGATCGGTGCCTCGGTAACCCCGAGCGACGAGGCTCCGCACATGTTCATTGTAAACTCTGTCAATGGAGAGCTGTACAAACTCAGAGGTATGACCTCATGCCGGCCTCAGGCTGACCGTATATGGCAAAGTGCAAACACTGAGTGGAGTGTTTTATGTTGGAGTCACTTGGAGTGCAGAGTACATACTGGGGTGTTATGAATGAACTTTTTCCGTTCAGTATTTGTGAATGCATTAAACAGCTGGTTATGGAGAGCATCTGATAGAATTAAAGCTGCCGATTTTTACTCTTAAAGCTGCTCTATTATTATTGTATTTTTAAATAGATGATTGATCAAATAACTATGAAAGGTGTCACTCATAGTAAGTAAGTAAGTAAAGCTTTATTTATATAAATGAGAGAGACATAGTGAAGATAGAGACAAAGAATTCAGATTGCTTTTGCCATTGCCAATGAGATGTGTTTTGGCAGCCAGGCATACGATGATATGTGACATAGACCTTACCATGGTTACCATGGTTAGCAAGTGGTCAATATCAATGCCCATTCTAGATGGATTTTGAATTAGACCAACCCCTGTTTTCTGAACAGGCATGCTTCATCAATGATTTTGTTTTAAGGGAGAAAAAAACATATATTGCTAACTAGAATATTTGGCAAGGCCAATGGCCAAGTCTGAGAACGAAAACGAGTCCAAGAAAAAAAAAAAACATCTAAAATCCCAACTACCAAGTTAATATCAATTTGGTGCATGCTCATTTATTAAGCAAAAATCAGTTGTGAGGGTTTACTGCTTTTGTCTGTTTTATGTGATTGTAAATTGAATAACTGTAGCTCAGAAAAAATAAGCTTCAACCTTGGATTGTGAGAGACATTTTATAGACCAAATCTTTAATCAGTTAACCGGAATTTAATTCAGTTCAACTTCATTGTCATTGTACTTGCATTCAAGGGAACCTAGTCTTTCAGAGATTTGTAAAATCATAAAAATATATAAAAAACAAAAGCAAAAGGATTTTAAGAGAAAGGTTATTTAAAGTGCCGTGAAGATCCTGATTATGACTTATAATAAAAAAATATACTTTTAGGGGGCAAAATAATTGTCAAGTATCTAATGTGGAAGTATATATTATTTGCTTGTTTTATTTTATTTCCTCATTCTTATTGTCCAAGCCTCCCACGTCCATGTACAGGTTTTTAAAAACCCTGGATATACTGTATATATAGTGGAAAATTCAGCTCAGGAGACATTCGTCTGCACCATAGTGAAATATTGCTTTAAGACCCAGTGCCAGACAAAGAGCCTGTAGCTGGTCACTGTGTTGAAGGCCTCTGCTTTCAGTGACCTGTATCCACTGAAGCGAGAGAAACTCCTTTTTACTGTTGCTCCACTTGAGCCGCTGGAATGTCCCCTTACACTCTCGAGGGGGAGGATATCAGAATAACTTGGCCTATATTCCCTGAATAACTCAGTGATCCATGTGTATTGAGCTAAGAGGAAACAATGATCCCACAGAGAAGAAGAAGTTGGGCTGAGTAGCTCACAGGCAGCAGTATTTCCATTTCCAACGCCTTGGTGAGAGTCGAAAATGATCAAGAAAGTCATTGAGAGAGAAAAGCAATCTTTTGGTGCAGCTCAGCCAAACAAACCCAAGGTTAGTAGGTGTGACTGGTGCCAATAACGCCCCCCCCCCCC